ATGACTCCAATTTTTTTCACAGTTTTTGTTATAATTTTATAAAAATAATCAAATTTATTTTACACAAAAAAGTAAAGTTGTCGCTGTTTCTCGAAAAGCAGTTCAATATTTTCTAAAAAAAAAGTCCCTTGGATTAAGGAGGCAAGGACAAGTTAAAATAAATATTCCATGCAATTTCCTCAACATTAAGCACTTGAATCTTCTATTGAATTTGTTTGGGCATTTTTGATCGATTAAATTATAATTATTACTACTGAGGATGATTTCGACATATCCTCCATCTCCCACGTGTTAATTGGCTCCAATTCTTCCGAAGCTAAAATTTGTAATGTTAATGGATTAATACCTTCACCTGAAAAAGAAGTAAGAGGCGATAATGACGGTCAACAGATTCATGGATGCATCGGTAACAAATTCTAAATGAAATTTCCGCTCCATTTTCCCAGGAAAATTCATGAAAATTGAAAAAAATGAAAATTGTTAAAATCAATGTTGTTAAATGTTCAAAGAAAATTATTATTTCATGTATTTTCTGTCGCTGGCCATAAAGGGAGTAAAGTTGGCTTATTTTTCATAGAAGGAAAATTATGATTTTGTTTTACTAGCAATACATGAATGCTGTTTTTTTACTAGTTTATATATAAAAAATAATATTACAATTTGCCTAACAATTCTAGCTTATAATAGTATCATATATTTAACTTTCTGTGCAAAAATAACCAAGGAAAAGTAAAATTGTTATTTCTTTATTAATCCGGCGTTAGGCGCGTTGTTGCGCATTAGGCGCAAAATGAAAATATTCTGTTGTAATTTCGTGAATGATTCAGGTAACTCTTCTAGTCGATTTCAGTGTCGAGAAATAATTCATCGATTACGATATACGAGACAGTAATTTTCATTTAAGGCTCCATTTGAATTTTAATCTGTTGTTTCCAATTCTAGTAGGAATAAATTAATCTATTACACTTACTCTTAAAAATTTGCAATAGTTGTATCTGCCATGAGAACGCTCGCTGTTGCGAGGAGATGATTACTTCAAATGTGGTCGAATTATCCTTTTTAAGTTTTCGGCTATTAAATGGAAAGATTATGTTTTGAGCGCATAATTGAAGGTTAATGTCTGGAATAACCGCCCCCCCCCCCCCATTAATAAATATAAAAAAAAAATGACTCTTGTTATATTAACCAAGTTTTGCCCTTCAATACACTGCCAAAGCCCGTGGAATAAATGTGAGTGAAAGAAACAATAAAGGCGGAAAAATAAATATACCGATATAGTGTCGTGTGGGTCCCTCAATTGTCCCTGAGATTCCTGAGCCCTCCTCCCCCAGTGCTATCACTGGTGACATGATTAGCGAGTGATTATATTTTATATTCAATATTGGAATATCTACAGAAGGATAGCGGCGAGTAAATCACTCATTGTGGCGATGATGGTGTGTGGTCTTGCGAGGTGAGGTGCGTCTCGTAGGGATTGAGTGAACCGGACGGGATGATCAAATTAACACCTTTCTGTGTGTCCATTGTCTTTCAATATAAATCACAAAAAAATTCAACGAAATTCACTCACCCTGTGAACAAAAATCTATCTAATTTTTTATCTGTAGTTGTGGAGCACGTTAATTCGTGATCTTTGCGTTATTAACATTCATCTCCGAATGTTGCTTTTCCGTTATAATTGTTCACCCACAGAATTTACAATGATCGATGCCTTCCGAAGTCCTCACGTTGTACTGCTACTAGGAGTCAAGGGAGAAACGATAAATTTCGGGCGATACCCTTTCAACACGCGAAATTCGGAGAAATGATCTTCCTTTTAATTTTTCGGCTGTCAAACGGAAAAGATTGTGTTTTCACCAGAGAATTGAAAAATCGCTGTAATCGACTTTTGTTTTCGCTGAAAATAAAAACCATGAGCACTGGAATGGAGTTTTCAATAATATTAGAAATTGAATCAATGTGTAAAACAGATGAATAAATTAATAAAAATATCGGTGTGATACTTACATGTTTATTATAACACTTAGTTTGATATGATTCAGATTCACTATCAGAATATTTTCAGCACAACACAAAATATATTCATGCAATTGTAAATCGATTAGCACAGAATCCGTTCCGATTCACATTAAATGTTGATCAGCGATTTTATGTGGACGCAAATATAATCCACTGAATAGTATACTGCTGTAACCAAAAAATTTGACGGCATTGTAGCAATCAATGGCAAATATTCGCCGCAATGACAGCAGTATTGAAGCCATTCACTTTGTTCAGCGGAATCGAACGAATGAAAAAAAAATTTTTCTTTGTTTAAGAAATGAAAAATTGAGGCAAAGATTCAATAAATTGGACCATTCAATTTGGAGATCGAATCGAAAGTCATTTTCTCGAATGAAATAAAAATTTTATAGTTCTAAAACCGTGATATCCCCTCAAAATTAAATATGTAAATATCCAATTAATCAGTGTCACGATATGTTACAAAAGAATATCTCTTTGATTTAAAGACGAATTCATAGATGCAATAGAATATTTATTGGGTTTATGAGGAATATATTCTTAAACATTCATTACTACGATACATTTCCGGCAAGAAGTTCTTTCTTCAATTCAAACTAAATTTTTCATCGTTTGAATTGATATTCATTCAGGTGCAAATGTGAAAAAAAAATCTTTGAACCAAAACCAAAGAGTATGATTTAAACGAAAATTTAGTTGTGTGAAGCCGTTTCTGTCGCAAAAACACAGATTTACTAAATGCGAGAAATTTTTTTTCTCAGTGTAGGGAATCAAATATTAGTAAATATTTTTCTCTTACTAACTACCTGATTGTAATTCGAAGTCCTAAGGTGGACGGAAATTATTCCTGTGGGATCTTCTCTGTCTTCTGCTAGAGTTATTGATTTTATTCTTTTGCACAAAAGCTAAATAACGGTTTTTTAACTTTTTCATGTACTCGTCGTTCTCGTTCAGCCACCAGAATTTGTTTTGGACTCTTGAGAAGTCTTCGAAATCATAGTTAGGTATATCTCTAGCATATAAGAGTTTCTGCGTCTTAAAATTATCGATGAGGATTTTTTTATTGTTCATGTGTCTTCGAACATGATATAAGATCGGTTTGTTCGATTCATCTTGAAACAATCCGATCTTATCATAATACGTAAAATATTGTGGTTTTACATGACCATATATGGCTCCGTCTACAGCTTCATCAATTGGGAACTCTGTTAGAGCATTAATCGTCTTATTAGAAATTTCTTTGATTTTATTATAATAATTTCTAGCTAAGCGTAGAATAAAGATATCAATTCTTGGTAGTTGAGCTTTGTCGTAAAGGATTTTATTACTTACCCTTTTTCTAAAATTAGAATGCAAAGATCTATGTAGAAATAGTGACGACCTGAGACAGTTTCGTTCGAATACTCTCAATTTTTCCGTTTGGGAGACCCATATTCCATAAGAATTCCGAAGCATACGTAAGCAATGGTTTGATCAAAAGCAAATAACAGATTATTCTGGCTCTTTTGTTGATAAATCTGTTGTGGAATAAATGCCCTAAGGCTTTATATCTTTTTCGGGCTTTTTCAATTGGCAAATCAGTGTGTTTTGCACATCTCACTAAGTAATCTAGGTGTACACCAAAGTATTTGACTAGATCTTTATTAGGGATGGGTGTTATTTCATTTGAGACTGAATTCTCAATTTTAATTTCAAATTCTTTAGTGCTTTTCTTCTTTTTTGATGAGAGATGACAGGAAGTATTGCGGAAGAGAATGGACTCGCTCTTGGTCGGGTTGACCTTCAAGTTCCACATGGAATATAAATTGTGTGACCTTGGCTGGGGAATTAAAATATAATAATTCCCGGCGAAGACACGATATTGGGGAATTTACGATATTGTGAAAAATTTGGGACATTGATTATAACTTACGGGAGGACCTGAAATAATAAAAAGGGGGGGGTTTGAAATGATTACTCGGAGGGATTTATGAATGGACTATCTGTATTCTGATCTCATAACACAATATTAACACAAAAAATAATCCGGACCTTTTGACTAATAACTCGAGGGTGGGGGGTAAGGCCAACTCACTTGCGGCTACGCGAAATATTATATCCTTTTATAAAATGGACATACACCTCAAATCTCGAATCGAATCGAACATATCGAAATTCCGTAACACTTATTCGTAATTGGTAGATACATTGACAGCGGCAAAATTTGAATTTCAAGTATCAAATAAATCAAGTAGAAGGATGAGTTAATTAGTAGAAAATGAAAAATTAGTTAGAAAATGGAAATGAAACAAGTTACTCATAAAATTTGTTATCACAACAGCCGGGTTATAAATTAATTGATTTCATTAATTTAATTACATATTAATTATATTATCGAAAGTACAGTGACAAATAAAAAATGATGTGTCAAACAATTTAATCTCTACTTTACCAGTTTTTATATGGATAATACACTGTAAGTATAAATGTTTTATTATTTATAATATTTCAAATCATTAATGAATCTTCTGACCTGTTTTATACATGAAAAATGTTTGTACACATTCATCAAAATTAAAAAAACACCAGAGGATGCTAATTATGCCATCTACCTGCTAAAATTGTTAATGTCATGTCAATTATGCCACCTACCAGCGATCTTATAAATCTGAATATCGAATGATTCCATAAGATCTTTCATTCCCAATTGTATTTCCGGTTTATTGAAGAAGCCCACTAACACGCATGCAGTAAAAAATTTTCCTTATCAAATTTAATCGAAGTGACAAAATGACATCAGAGCAGTATCAATTCACTTCAACTGAGGAGATGAACAATTTTGAGGATGGTGACACGGCCATGTTAGTATTTTTT